CCAGCTGACCCCTGTGACCCTCGCTCAGGGCCAGACTCTACAGACGTCCACCAATCAGACGCAAGGTGCTGCACAGCATGCGTACCTACCCAGCAACTGGAACTACAGGAGTTATCGTAAGCATCTTCAGCAAAAGTTCTGTAATAGACATTTATCGCTATATTAACCTGTATTTATACAGAAAACGTAATGGCAGCATTGTGTTTTCCTCCCTTTGCTCCTGTAAGCATCTGAGATCCAGATGATGACTCTTCCTCATACTCAGTATGTGATCGCAGAGGCCAGCGCCCCCATCACTGCTGCCGTCAACAGCAGTCAGGTCAAAACAGTGAGTGGAAGAACTGTCTGGCGTCCACATAAATTCCAGTGTTTTTGTTTTCATATTGTAATGCAATTATGTTTTGGTTTCTCATGGATCGCAGACACATTATGTGATCTCGGAAGGACAGACGGAGCTGGATGGTAAGCAGGTGAATGTCCCGTCCACCGCAGCGCAGGTTCACCCCGACCCACTGGAGCAGCCGGCCATCAGTCAGCAGACCACCACGCAGTACATCATCACCACCACCACCAACGGGACAGGGGCCAGTGAAGTTCATATCACCAAACCCTGACCCTCAATCACACATGAAGAAACTTGATTCGTCATCTTCAGCTGCAGGGTTACTTTAAATGAACAGATTTCGGATTTATTTTTTTGAAGAGTTAAAAAGATTAAGTGAAATAGTGAAGATGTTTTTGTATGAAATAATAATAACACTGGAGTGGTTAACTGTGTTTCTCTAGACACCCAAAAAGACCTGATTGTGTATGTTTTCAGGAACTATCATGACTTTTAACCTGTGCCATCCTGCCTTTTATCTTCATTTTGGTCTATTTTTTTACCCCTCTTTATTTATCTTTTTTTATTCAGTAAAGTATTGAAATATTCTGCATTTTCATACTTGAGTAAGACTGATGAGAGACCTTTAAAAGGATTTCTTTTTTATTATTATTTCTTTGTTTCCCCACAATAAAAGGGGTCAAGTGCTGTGGATCCTCACTTTTACTGGCTTTTGTTTGAATATATTTGGAAATCATCAAGTAAAACTTGGCACAGCCGCAAAGCCTGTAAAAATACTGCCTTGATGAGCAGGCTGAGCTTATAAAAGATCACATTTTACCCCAAAATCCAAAGAGAGAAGTAGAATTTGCACAGAGAATGTGAAGCTTTGTGACTTAATTTTTGTGACTATTAAACGTTACAATTAAAATTTGCTTGATTGTCATGAACATAATGTCATGATGCAAAAATGTTAATATTCCTAAAATAAAAACGGACTTCAATTTCTTAATACGAAATGTAATGTATTTTCCTATGGTTTGGAGTGGAATATGCCCTTGACATTTCATTTCGAGAATCTAACATCAATCTCAAAATTGTGTTATTTTGATAATTAAAGCAAAACTTCCCAGATCAGATCATCCATGCCCACATCAGCTCCCTTGCAAATGAAAGCAAACCCCAAATGAATGCTTTTACTTAATATATTTACTATAAATAATTAAAATATGGTCCACTGAAGGAGTCACCAGCCAGAACGAGGTTCAGATGAAGGTTGAACCCTTCATACCCTACAAAAATCCTTCTCAAAATGTCTCAAGTTATCTGAGAGTCCTCATATTATTCTATGTATTATCTGTTAAAATGACTGGAAGAACTTGTGTATTTCATGTAACTTGTGTTTATGGACATATTAGTATTTATTTGGGTTTTGCACATCCATCAGTGGAGCACTGCTGCAACTTTATAACCTGAGAAAGGGAAATATATCCAGCATACACTATTTATACTGAGACAAACTTGTACAATGTAAAAAAAAATCTGTACTATGATAAGTATTGTAATTATTGACAGTTTATGTACAGTAATGCGCCTCAGTGTCTCTGGGTTGGTGTCTCCTGTTGTTCCTAGTGATGGGAAATAAACGTCCTTTTGTACACTTCATGGCTTTATTGTCTGTCAGTCCTCAAATCCCTCATCTTGGCTTTATTTTCTTTGACTGCCTTTTTTTAAAGAAATATTCTGGAATAAATACAAAACTAAGATCTATCTACAGTATAATTTCAAGTATAATGTAATCTTTTGACTCAATATCCCCCATTTAAACCCAGTAACAGAAAACTCCTGTTTTACTCTGTACTGAAGCCTGATTTGTTCACGTTTGTGTAGCTGCACAAACCAATGGTGCTTTAGCCTGCTAAAAGGGGCAGAGCCGAACTCTATATAAGTCGGCTCGCAGCGCCATTTCATCAGAATCATTCGACTGAAGCAACAGTCATCGATTTGCGTGCTGCTTATAGCACGGCCAGTGACACAACGCTCATTCCCTTATTTCAGGGAACCGAGGTTACGTCAGTAACCAGAGCATTCCTTTTCAAACGTTCTCTCACATTGTGTATAGGGAATGCATCTAATCACACCGTGCTATGAGCAGCTACAGAACGACCCGCTCTGCGAACCCAGTCTTGGAGCACTTAAGTAAGGACCCCTAAAGAACATGAGCTAACTAAGCCCCAAGCACAGCTGAGGGCTATCCACATAACCATTTCCACCCTTAGGGAGAAATAGGCAGATCAATCAGACAGAACCCGTGCCTGCAGGGCCGGGACGTCTAGATTATAGAACCTGGCAAATGTGGACAGCAACAACCAGTTCCTCTGGTGGAGTGGGCACTCACACCTATGGGGCTTTGTAAGCCTTCTGAGGTATAAGCCAAGGCTATGGCGTAGACTATCCAGCGAGAAAGCCTCTGCTTTGTAACTGGCAGCCCTTTAGAGCGACCTCCAAAGCAAACAATAAGCTTCTCTGACTGTCTGAACAGGCTGGAATGCTCAAAATACACTCTCAAAGCCCTTACAGGGAAAAGTGCATTAGGACCCTGTGACAGGGAGCGCCAAAAGGGTGATAACCTGGGCTCTGAATGGAGTCGAGAGCACCTTAGGGATATAACCATGTCTAGGCTTGAGGACGGTTTTACAGTCATTGGGCCCAAATTCAAGACAGGAAGCACTGACCGATAGTGCTTGTAAGTCACCCACTCGCTTGACCGACGCTAATGCCAACAGCAGGGCGGTTTTAAGTGAAAAAAAGACCAGTGGTTTACTCTGATGTAAAAAAGCATGGGACGGGACTCAGGCTTTGAGCCAGTATTGGAGAGGCCACAGGTGAAGCCGCCATGAGGCTCAGCAACCTCTGAAAAACCTTGAGGGAACGGGAACTCCCTGGTTTGAGGGAAGCTGCCAGTTGCTGAATAATCAGGGGTCATTCCGGCGTAATCCAAGCCCACATCTGGGCAGAGTCTATGATTGTACCCAGAAAGACTGCTCGCTGTCTGAGTGACAAATGACTCTTCTGAAGGTTGATCTGCAACCCGATTCGCTCTAAGTGGCTGAGTAACAGTGCTCTATGAGCGGATAACTCCCATTCTGATCTGGCCAGTACCAGCCAGTTGTCAAGGTTATTTAATATGCAGATTCCCATCTGCCTCAGAGGGGAAAGAGCCACGTCTATGCACTTCGTAAAAGTGTGAGGGGCCAGAGACAGTCCAAACGGTAGGAACGCATACTGATAGGCCACCCCCTCGAACGTGAATCTCAAGAAAGGTCTGTGATGAGGAGCTATGTAGATATGAAAATAAGCATCTTTCAGATCCACCGTCAGAAACCAGTCCTCAGGACAAATGTGCGCGAGGATCTGTTTCAAAGATCTGTTCACTCAGACATCTTGAACGGCCGACGCATATGAATGAATGAATGAATGATGCATTTATATAGCGCTTTATTGAGTATTTTTGTACACCCAAAGCGCTTTACAATCATGTGGGGGGGTCTCTCCTCAACCACCACCAGTGTGCAGCATCCACTTGGATGACGATGGCAGCCACAGGACAACGGCGCCAGTGCGCTCACCACACACCAGCTACAGGTGGAGACATCTCATCCGAAAGATGGTGCTTTTTGACAGTATAGTGTCCCTGTCACTATACTGGGGTGTTAGGACCCACGCAGACCACAGGGTGAGCACCCCCTGCTGGCCTCACTAACACCTCTTCCAGCAGCAACCTAGTTTCCCCAGGAGGTCTCCCATCCAGGTACTGACCAGGCTCAAACCTGCTTAGCTTCAGTGGGCAACCAGTCTTGGGCTGCTGGGTGATATGGCTGTGGCGAGCGTTTTGTTTGTATGGCATATGTGAACAATTCAGATGTCTGAGTTTCAGAATAGGTCTGAGCCCGTCATCTTTCTTGGGGAAAAGGAAGTAGCGGCTGAAAAAGCCTGATTCGCTGTTCGCTGGAGGCACTGTTTCTACAGCGCCCTTTGCAAGCAGTGTTTAAACTTCATGTCGGAGAACGTGCGCTTTGTTGTCCTGAACAGAAGTCTGAATGATACCCCTGAAACAAGGTGGCCTGTGAGCGAACTGAAGCGAGTAACCTTGTCTTATTGTGTTTAGAACCCAGCTTGACATGCCCGTAATGGCTGCCCAAGCCTTGAACCGTGATGCAAGGGGTTCTAATCTTGCGAATGAAGGCCGCGAGGAGGCGGAGAACTTGCACTCGCGAGTTTGAGTGTGGGAAGGGGAAATTTGCTTTTGGGTATGTGGGTCCTCTATCACAGCGGTAAAATATTCAGGTACGCGCTGCGCCTGCAGGACGTGACCCGCTGGAAACAAAACTTCATCTCTCAGAGGTGCTCGAAGGGATGGTTGAGTGCGAGCTGTCTTTGAGGGAGAACTGATCCCCTCCTCTTCCTCTCTGCTGGATCAGGACGGCTTCGGGGGCTCATGTTTGCCGGATGCCCAGGCTCAGTTTTTGGCTGGGGCTGAGGCGGCGCTGGCTTCGCAGGCTGAGTGGCGGGGGCTTTCTGGCGACTGGCAGTCACTGAATTGGAGCGCTTGGGGAGGAAGTGACACAGCGCTTGCAACGTCTTGTAAACCTCAGAGAATCACTCCGCAAACCCGTCCATGGCTGAGCCAAAAAGGCCCTTAGGAGAGAAAGGAAATGGGAGAGCAGAACGGGGAGGACCGCCTTCCTTAAAGAAGGCGATCCGCGAGCGGAGACAGGCAACACTCATGTTCTCGCAGTGAGAACACAAGCCCTCAACGAGCGCAGCCTCACTCACTGTGCACATCCATCTTGTGGAGCGACATTTGTAACAATGCATGCTGGAAATTTGCTCAGAAATTTCTCTTTAATAAAGTGTCGGATGGCCGCAGGGATAAGCTGGTCTTCTCCTGCCAGGGGCTCTTTGACAGCGACCGTGAGCAGAGCTGAGCTTCTTCTTCATCTTTGGCTTCTTCTCGCAGAGTCAGCGAAGAGATGATTCTCATCACTGAAGGAGAAGATTCTGATGAAATGGCGCTGCGAGCCGACTTATATAGAGGCTGGCTCCGCCCCTTCTGGTGGGCTAAAGTGCCATTGGTTTGTGCAGCTACACAAATGTGAACAAATCAGGCTTCAGTACAGAGTAAAACAGGAGTTTTCCCCATACACAACGTGAGAGAACGTTTGAAAGGGAACTAATAATATGCACTATTACAGTGTAAACATTCAGAACAGTGTTGTCCAATTTTGTCCTTCTTGAGTGCATTTTTTAAATTTTGTTGCTGTATATTTTAAATGACGCACTGCATGAGCTGTTGTGTGTATATAATGTGTACAGGCCCGGATTGGCTAATCGGGAGCACCGGGAGGATTCCCGGTGGGCCGGTCTGTTTTTTGGCTGCAAGGGCTGGTGTGTTGTCATGCAACTGGGTTGAAATATGCTGCCTGCACTCACAGCAGCCCTACTCTTTTTATTTATTATTTTCTCGCAGCCCATATTATTATTTTCACCAGACCATAATAATAACAACAAATTCTCAATAGATAATTAATCATTCTTTTAGCGAAAATTATTGTTATTTGTGAACGTAGGCGTTTGATGGAAGGCTTTAAGACCAAGCGGAATCCTCTGCCGGCTGCTCCCGCTTCACAGCGAGCGCGACTCGCGCTAACTGCACCCAGGTTCGCTGTCCGCGTTTTGATTTTACAAAATTAGTTTGGGCGAATGCAACTTATTGCAAGGCAGGAAAACATTCAGTCTACCTGAACGAAGACGTATATCATTGTAAGTTAATGCTGTTAAATAGAGAGAGAGAGAAAATACATTAAAAAAAACTATAGGCTATTTTTAAACTTGGACCTCATTATATTGAAGTACAAATCCAAGCACCAGAAGCAACCTACACTCTAAGTGTTCTTTCATTGAAAA